CACGGCCCTTTCGCCGCGCGAGTAGGCCAGCGCGTAGGGCAGGGCGTAGGGCAGCCCGTCGGGCGCGGCGTAGGGCAGGGCGTAGGGCACGCTATGGCGTGGGGCACGGAGGGCACGGCGGCTGAGATGAAGATGATGCCGCGCAATCCCCAGGTGAAAGGTTCAGGGTGAATCGTGTGGGATAATGGCTTGCTTATTCAGCCCCCCCCCCTTTCTTTCCCCCTTTACCCGCCCCCACCGCACGCACCGCGCCGCGCATTACTCCGGGGGGCTTTACGACTTGGAGGAGCGCAGCGCGGCGCAGCGCGGAGTGCGGAGACTCCGGGAGCGGAGATTGCACCCAGAAGTAAAGTAGGCGCGGCAATCTAGCGGCGCGGGGACGCGTGCACCGCGTCGTGCTCCGCGCCATGACCGCCATGCCCGCGCCATGACGGCGAGGGGGCCGAGGGGGCGGCCCTAAAGGACGACGGCGTGCTCGAGGGGCTCTAGCCGAGGCCTGGCGGCGGCCGCGTCCTCCGTGTCCTGGGAACCCTCAGCCTCGCGCATGACGTGCAGGGGGTGTACGTCCCCGGAACGACGACGACCACCCTCGCCGTGCCTTTGACCCCACGCACGCCGCCAGCCCGACGAGCACCAGGAGGGTGCAGGGAGACGAGGCAGACGAGCCGCCGCCGTGCTGCGGTGCTGCAGTGCAGGCAGCAAGGCAGCGCCGCCCCCTCTTCCTCGTACGGCATAACGAGCTGCTTGTCGTGGCGCGGAGTGGCGCAAGTGCAGCAAGTGCAGTCACGGCACGGCCAGCACGCCGAGGCGCGGCGAGGAGATACTCAGGAGTATCGCATCACAGCGCCGGCGGCGGCGGCGTCAGGCAGCGGCGTGCTGCCAGGAATCTCACTCGAGCCTCAACGAGTCTCAAACGAGCCAACGAGCCCCGCCTGGCCGTGGCTACGCCGCTGGGCCGCTGCCCCGCTGCCGATGCGCGCGCCGGGATGGCACGGCGGCGCGGCCAGCGGCCCAGCGGCCCAGCGGCCACGGCGCGGTGGTGGAATGGGGGAATTTACATGAGCCAAGCCGTGCGGCCGGTGGGCCGGCACGTAGCGGCCTGGCCCCGCGCCCCGCGCCCCGCCCACCCCTCGGCGGACGGCCAGAAAACATTTTTCGAAACACTTTGCGACAGGGAGGGACGCGCAGCAAAACGACACCGAGTCACTCTGGCGGCGGAGTGGTGGAATGGCGCGATGGCGGCAGAGGAAAGCGAAAAAGCAGCAAAGCAGCCGCCTTTCCGCGGTCGATGGACATGGCCACGCCGGCCACGCCCCGCGCCCGCGGGACGCCATCAAGTCCCTGCAGCACGACGGCAGCCTGGGCAGCCTGGGCAGCCGCGGCGGACGGACAATGACGCTCTCGGATCGCGTCACTGCGGCGGCCCCGCGTCGGTAGCCGTGGGGCTGGAATCGGTGCGCAGGTCGCAAGCAAAATAAATGATTTACGAGTCGCGCGCCACTGAGCGTTACGCGTGCTTTCCCAGCTTGGAGACGGGCCAGCAGCAACAGCAGCAGGATTAGAAGCTGCACCGCCCCGCCCGCCTCGCCCCGCCCCCCGCGGCCATCAGGCGGGTACGGCGCGATGCAGGTGGCGGGGCGCGAAGGGGTGGCGCGCCGCGACGACGCTGTGGTGCCGACTACGGTGGCCACATCCCAGTCGCCCCGAAGGTAGGCAAAGGGGAACTTCCCTGCGCTTGAAACGCGTAGGCGTCGCCGCCATGGTCTCTGACGCCTTCAGGGCCTCATCCCTGGACCGTCTGCGCGATGCTGCGCCGCGGCGCTCGAATGGCTCGGCCGGCGTAGCCTATCCGCCATCGAGCAGAAAAAGACGGCGAAGCAGCGCCCCACCCCTTTCCCTCCTTTCTCCTCTTCCTCCCCGGGGCATGCCAGGGCAAGGAACACAGGGCCTCGCTGTTCCCGAATAGTTTGACCTTCTCGCTTTGAGTCGGAAAGCGCCAATCTTTGAACGTCGCGGGGCGATCGCTGGGAGCGTGTTGCACCGAGGCCGCGAAGCTGGCCGGCCTCGGCCACGGCTTGCTCGGCCGTCTGCGAAATGCAGAAGGCCAAGTCGGGGAGGGGCTGGGCGTTGACGCCCCGGCCGTGCAGGCCGTGCAGGCCGTGCACCGCTGGAACAGGTTGGACAGGTTCACACAAAGCGACAGAATTTAGTTTTTTACTTGGTTCGAGAGGACATGCAGCAGCAGGTTGCAAGGGCATGCAGCGCGGCGCGGCCAGTGTTTGGTCTGCGCGGCCGGGCCGGCTGCAGGCTGCCTCCGGGAGGACGGCGCGGAGGACGCGGGGGAAAACACCGCCAGCGAGATCGGAAAGCAAGCAGGCCGGCAGGCATTGGGCGCACGGCACTCATTCACACCCAGGACGAACACGCAGTGCAGTACAATGTTGCGAGAGCGGCTCGGCTCGGCACGGAGGCAGGGCGAGGCCAGCCGGGCACGTCCGCCGTCCAGGACGCCGTCCAGGACGGCAGACAGACATCGACGGCGCGGACGGCATCGCAGCGCTTCATGGAATACCGTATTCGCATCTGCAGATGGCGCGGGGACGGCGAGGACGGCGAGGACATCGACTGCAATGAGCAAGCAATGCAGCCCCGGGGACAGAGGACAGAGTGCGGGGAGGCGGGGCGGAGGTCCATCCGGTCGGTGCAACAATGCCGCCTTGCCCGCCGCCACACGCGATGCCGCGATGACGGGACGGGCGGACGCGACGCGAGGCACTGTAAGGGCAAGGTGGCAGGTTCGAACGACGGCAGCGCCGGTTCCGACCGAAGCCTTTGCGCGCTTTGCGGCGCGACGCGCATGCCTGAACCGGGGCGGGGCGGGCGGGGCCTCCAGGGAAGAGCAATGCAGCGGGCAGCAAGGCACAGGGCAGTGTCTCGTTACCGAACCGGAACAGCTGTTGAAGCGGGGCCACAGGCCACGAGGCCGGCTGTCCGGCATGGCCGCCTCGGACCACGCAGAGCGCGCAGTGCGCCAGTCGACATATCCTCACGTCTCCAATTCGCCGGCATACCGCGCGGAAAACTCATTACCCCGTTCAGGCTCCACGCAGTACTCCGTCTCTCTCCGGGACGCCCCGTGCGTGCGGGAGAGACAGAGTGACGAAAACCCTGTTCGAAATGAGCCGGCTGCCCAGCATCCCCCTGAACGGGATCATCCCGATCTGCATGAGTCATCTGCAGCGCGTCACGGTGGTCACGGTCGCCTCCCCGCTCAGCTGCGCTATGAAAGTGCACCGCGCCGCGCACCGCGCACCGCGGGCCGGCTGCTCAACCGCCAGAAAAAAGTGTGGTCATCCCGAAGGGGGCAGGCACCTCGCCGGGGTCACGAGCCCTACGCCGAGCCAGCCGAGCCCCAAGCCAACGCCCCCCCCCCTTTTTACAGACAGACAGACGGACAGAAAGGCGGACACGCACAGGGGTACTTGTAGCCGTCGAGGTGGCCGCGGGTACTCTTTGCACGCTGCATCCTCACATCGTTCCGTCTCTCTCGCACCGCCACGCTACGCCCCGTGAGTGCGAGGCGGACACAGCGACGAAAGCGCACCGTTCGGAGTCAGCCTGCGGGTACAGTAAATCACCGGCGCGGGATGAGTCTGGCCGGCATCGGGCCGTGGTGGCCGTGGTGGCCGTTGCCATTGCAGCTCCCATCGTCCGGCTGTCACTTTTCACGACCAGAGAGTCTCGCCAGCCCGCCAACACAGCCCGCCAGGCAACAGCGAGACCCGGCGAGACCGCAGCAGCCGCGCACTGCAGCGCTATGCAAAGTGAACGAACTGGGCAAACGCACGTGCGGCGTGGTCGGCGTGCGGCGAGGCTCGGGCGAGGTGGAAGTGGGTTTGGTGTTTGGTGCGGCGGCGAGCAGAGCCAGGCCATGCAGGGCCCAAGGCGGCCAAAGGTGTGAAGCTGGCTGGCATTGCTATCGACAGCACACAAGAAACGAAGATAAACAAGTCGGTGGCCGAGGCCGGCCGAAGCGCGGGGCACGCGCCAAAACAAAACCCCTAAAAAAGGGGAACCGCTTCGGGCGGCGTTTGAACCCGCGTGCTTTGCTTCCAGACTCAGTCGATCGGGATGAGAGCGGCACGTGGGGGGTGGCGGCGGGCGGCAGGGAGGAAGCACGATGGGGAGGGCCCTTTGCCCCCGCAGCCCCCGCAGCCCTAGGGCTCGGCCGCTCGGCCCTGCAGGAAAGGGAGGGCTGCAGGGCTGCTGGGAGGCCTGCTTCAGGCTGACTCCGAAGAGCCGCTTTGTCGCTCCGTCTCTGTCGCACTCACGGGGCGTCCCGTATGGACGCGAGAGAGACAGGGGACGAATCGCTCGGCGGGAGTGGCAGGAGGCAGGGGGTGGCGGCGGCGGTGCGGGGCCGAGCCGAGCCGCTCCCGAGGGCCATGCGCCATGCGCCATGCGCCATGCGTCGCGTCCCCTCGCCTCCCTCCGCGAGTCCCTCTGCGAAGCCCTTCCCTTTCACCCTCCGGCCCACTCGACTGCTCCAGCGTGCTGGCGTGCTCCAGCCCCAGCAGCCCGTCACACCAACACCCCATAGCCGCCTCCCCGCAGCCCCGCACCTAGCGGGCCTTGCAGGACTTGGGGGTGGCGGCGTCCATTCAATACTGTACCGCGCGGTGGGCTTGGGGCTCGCTTGCAGCCCCGCCCGCCCCGCCTCCCCCTCCGCACAAAGAAAGGCAGGATAGCGACCCCCTCTCCCTTCCCCTGCAAAGGTATTGGCAATTCCCCGACGGAAAAAAATTTGGGCAGTGTACAGCGGCGTCACCTGGACGAACGGCACCTGCACCCCGAGATGCAGATGATTACGGACGCAACCACGCCCCGATCGGAGCCGGAGTCGGCACGGGATGATCGGCGAGGTGATGACAGCCGACCGCCTCCCCTGGAACCGGGTGGCAGGGCTGCAGGGATCGGCGGCGGCGACGTTGCGAACTTACCTTTGTCTCGTGCGAGCAGGGGTTGCAGTGCAGGACTCTCGACTTCCCACAGACGACTCAAGCGAGGGCAAGTAGACACCTCTCCTGCAGCTGGGCCGGCAGCGGCTGCTCGACGTCCCGGACCCCTCGAAGGCGGCCCGACAGGGGCGGCTTGCTCCGCGGTGCCTCGCGGTGCCTCGCCGTCAGTCTCCTCCCTTTTCACTCGGCTGCGAAAGCCTGCCCGCGCGCCCAGCCCGCTCCGTCACGCCAGGATGTGCCAAAGCCGTCTGCTCCCTGCTCCTAGACGGGGCCCAAACACGAACACGTACTGCGCACGCACACGCCGACAGCACGCAGCACGCAGCACCAAAGCAGGACCAGAATGCCGCCCCTCTTCGGCTCGGCGCACCGGGCACCGGGCGAGCCGCGACACCGAGCCGGACGCCCCCACGCCCCCTCGCGGCGCGCCGGGGAAGCTCCAAGGAACGACCCGTTCTCGCGAGGCGCTTCGAGTTTCGCGCGGTGCGGCCGCGCGCTCGAGAGCACTCCGATAGCTCGACAATCCCTTTCGATGGTGCGACATTTCTCCCGCCTGCTGCAGCTGTAATCGGGGGTTAACCCTAGAGAGGTACGTTGTGTCTGTGTATTTTGAGCGCTATTGTCACATCTTTCATTCATTTGACAAACTGTTCTGGTTCGCTGGCAAGTTTAGCCTGGAATTTTCATTCCATTGATTGAACCCTCTGATAGTTCTTTGCCTTCTATTTGGGAGGCGACTCGCGATCGATAAAATCACGATAAAGTTCGGCCAATGCAGCAGTAGTTGGTCTCTCAGTGACGTGCGGACTGTGCTGTAGTCGTTAACGCCTTTTGTCACGCTGCAGGATAGACTTTGATACATTTTTATTGCTTTCGTTCTAAATCCATTTTGGTGTCCCTGTAGGTAAAGTGCCCAGCCACCGAGTTTTTTTTTGCCAACTCTGTAAATTTAATTTATCCACCGTGGAGGACCCGAAGATGGACAGGCGACGTCTCTCGTAAGTACAACCGGCCACCCATTCCCCTGTTTTCCAATAATCTAGTGTTTGCTTTCGCCCCTACTTGCGTGAAACATTCAACAACATATTGACCCATTGTCTGGTTCGTTAAGGTTAGTCCCAGTCGTCCAGGGGCGAGGGCCAGCATTTCTCTCCCTGTTCAATTTTTCAACTTTCTTTCAATGAATTCATCCTTTCTATCCATATTGATATTTATAATTGTTCTTGAGTGATCTTACTCATCTTAGCAATTGTTCCATGAATGATATTGCGTTTACCTGTATTCTTTCCCCTCCCTGTGACTGACATTTGAACTGTCATTTTGGAGCTGTCATTCAGTTTTTCCTGAGTTATGTTTACAGTTTTAGGGTTTTTCATTTGTTGTTGTTTTCTGATTAAAATTATTTATCATTTTAATGGTTGCCTGTGTGTGATTCAATGAAGTTAATGTTGTCATGCCCCATTATGTAATACCAAACCAATCCACTGGAAGTCTCTATTAAAATTGAGATTGTTGTAAGAATTCCTCTTTAATTATATCTTAATGTTGCGTTATGTATCACTCCATGCCATCTTTTAATGTTTTTAGGACGTCTGGAGACACTCTTTACCAAACTTTGGGTTTGACGAAAACAGCAACAACAGAAGATATAAAAAAGACTTATCGCCGATTGGCTCTGAAATACCACCCAGATAAAAATCCTAACAATCCTGATGCTGCAGAACGAGTAAGATTTTCCCTAGTAACTTCTGTTACATCTACTTTTACTGTCGCTATATAATAATCTTGTTTTTTAATTATTTTTTTTATGTTTTTTCCTCAATAGTTTAAAGAAGTTAATCGAGCCCACAGTATTCTCAGTGATCTGACCAAAAGAAATATTTATGACAACTATGGCTCTCTTGGTCTTTACATAGCAGAACAGTTTGGTGAAGAAAATGTAAATCCTTATTTCCTTGTCACTTCTGGCTGGTGTAAGGTTAGTGTCATTTTTCTTTACTAGGAGGTATTCTACCTGGCTCTCTGGTTGAACTATAATCAAACATATTTGGCTATAAATGGTTTCTTGTTTTCATTTTAGTTCCTTTTCATCTTCTGTGGTGTTATCACGGGATGTTATTGCTGCTGCTGCCTATGTTGTTGCTGCAACTTCTGTTGTGGCAAATGTAAACCACGACCACCTGAAGAATCTGGTGACTACCACACTCTTAATGTAAGTGACATGTACAAAAATGCTAATTTACCCCTGTTTTTTATTGGATCATGAGTGGATCATGTTTTCCTGGTAGCATGGTGACTGCAAATCTTCAATGTTTTTGTTTGTTTTGAGTAAATTTCTAACTAAAAGAAAATTAAGTTGAAAGTAACAGATCTCTTTACTGGTGAACTTAACTAATTTATTCAACCATCTGATTGTTACATTTTTTAAATAGCTAGGACTGAAGAGGTTCTTTTGCTCTTTTGCCTTTGCATTACTCTTTTCCATTGTCCCTGCCCATCTAGGCTGTCGTCAAGGTTTTGGAATAGCAGAGTTTGTTTTTTATTTCATAATCTCTGGTACCACCAGTACCTGTTAGCATAAATGTAATGCTTTAACTCCTCTTTATTCACCATTTAATCTGCAATGAATGATCAGTGGTTTAGTTTCATGTCCCTTCATAGTCTTGTAGCAATTATAAACTGATGTGACTATTTTCATCCCTTATCCTGTACAAGCTGTGTGACTAAATTTATGTACTGGTAGGTTTATTTTTGTGTGGAGACCAAGTTATGTTGTACTTCAGTGAGCCAATCTTTTATCCTAGATCATTTATTTCCTTACACTGGGGCAAAAGTTTCTCATGCGAGACCAAACTTTAGAGTAGTGTATCACTTATTTGTACCAAGTATCTTGGTCTAGTCTTTCATAACCATGTGCCTTGCATGCGTATGAAACAGTAGACTTTGCATGATGACATTCCAAGCATGCTTTATAGGCTTTCAATCTCTGATTCGTGCTTCTTTTTATTTGCTTTTCCTCTTTGACATTATAAGTGCTGTGCAAACCCTTGTAAATGTCATTATTTCAATCTATTGATAATGCTTTTAAAAGAATGAGATAAACTGTGAGTGTCAGTCTTTCGTCAGGTGACAACCCTTCCATAAATTTTCTTTTCTTGGGAAGCATCAACAAGAGTTGACGGTTTTATAACCTTTGACAGGAATAGAGCTGCTCCATGGTGTGCATTGAAATTACCTCTGGTGGTGTGGGGCTTGCACTCTCTTTATACTTTTGGGGAATGGTCACTGCAATCCAAATAGCAATTTAAGTGTGAGCTTGTCTCTTGGTAACAATCTGAGTCAGCTTGTGAAGCTATCTTCTTTTCTTTCCTGATTTTTCTCCCTTTTTAATTTGGTGACAATATCCTCAAGCTTTCTGTGGCCCTAAACTAGGGCATTAAACCTGCCTATTATCCTACATCTTTGGTGATGTTGGCTGCATGGGGTGCTTTGACACTGGAAAGAGGAAGTCTTCAGAAAATGCTTTTGGATGTGAAAATGGTATCTGATAAATTGGCTAAATCAGTGACAGCTGACATGTACACAAATATGGCTCACATGTAGTATATATGATAGTATTTCTTGCATCAGGCTAGGTTGGGTGGAAGGTGATCTGGTAAGATGGCCATAGGCCCTAGAGTAAATATAATTCAAAGCATTTGCAGGATTGAAGCATGTGTCAATCTGGCTAATATTATTTTCATGACAAAGTAAAAGGTTTGTACACTTAGTACAACACAGCTTGGTCTTCATAAGTATAAAATTACCTTTCAAGAGGGGTTTGCACAGCACCTTTCTTTTTTTATCTCACGCCAGCCCCCAACGTTTCTGCCCTTTTTCGTTAGCACTGAGTTGGCCTTTGGCTCTTTTTTGTAGAGAAACCAGAATGGCGCAGAAGGTGCTGTGATATCAGAGCAGCCACGCTCCAGGCGGAATCAGGTTGGTACCTAAGTGGGAATTAGCATTCACAACATGTTGTCACAAATTTCAATCAAAGGTATACTTTCAAGAAAATTATTATTGGCGCCTGGTAAGTATGTAAGAGCCTCAGCCCAACATTTAACAGTGGCCTTTTTTTGTTGATTGTTTTAAAAATATTTTCTTGAATATTTTATTAACAGTACACTTTTTTTTAACTCAACTATCAATTTTACATGCATATACTGTTTTTAAGTAACTTATCTTTTAGGTTTTCAACTTTTGCACTTATCCTAGTATGATTTGCTATTCTTGTATTTGTATTAGTAAATTATCTCCTAATCCACCAGTGTTACCATCTTCTTTTAGTTGCATGTTAGTTTGTCCTTGCACACACAACTGCATTGGACTTGCCAAGACACGTGGAATGTCTGTAGTTTACTTTACTACACTTAGTTCTCATTAGTACACCATTATATCAAAACTCCAATTTTATCTGCCATGCGTGGATGCATTCTTGACTGCCAAGATATGTCCATTTATTTGTTCACTTAAAATGTCAGTATCAGTGGCATAGTAAGCCTTTGGAGGAGAATTTGCCGCACTTTATGGCCTCCTTACATATGTTTGTTGTGGTGGTAGCTTAACTTCATGGAGGGTTTTACTCACACACAGCCCCTCTTCGCTACCTCACTGGTCAATATTATAACAGCCAAAATGTAACAACAACACACCTATTAGTTATGTTAATGTTATTTATTTTTGGCTCCTTTAGGAGGATGATGAAGACGATGCTGGTCCATCCTCTGTCTCGACGCAACCTACATCCATGGCCATGCCAATGCCCATGCCAATGCCAGCCCCAGGTGATCCGGCTCTATCCTCTGTCAACGAGAGCACGTCTCTCAACGTCGGCGATAAGAAAGTCTACACTCCAGGTATCCAATAACATTTTTCATTTATATTAGTGGTAGTATTAGTACAGCTGAAGCGTCTTGTAAACAATAAATTGACAAAGCATCAGGCTCTGATACTTGTTGAATGTTCACTGCATGTGTTACTCTTGAAACAGGAATGGGGGGAAGTTCAATTTATTCAGCAGGCACAAGCGACACCTCTTAAGTGGCAAAAAGAACTGCGCTGAAAAATTTCCCCTATCTCTTGGGGTGAGTTAATCTTCCCCTACCCCCCCTTCATAATCAATCTAAATCCACATTTTATTAAAGAGGCATGGAACTCCTTCTGCTATATGCCTTCTTCTTACATCCTCATGCAATTTCTTTTGGGAACTGGTCTTGCTTATGTCTGCTAACCTTTTCCAGCTTGACCAATGTTAATGCTTCCAGTGCGCACCTTTCTGCCAAGCATTTGCCTCTTTATTTTGTTCTTGTAATTTTGATAATTCTTTTTCGTTTGTTCTATAGGTTCAGTGGAATAAGAGCAGTGGTTTTGCGGAGCCAAACTTTCAGCAGAGGCCTTATGAGGAACGAATAAGGCGCTGGTTGACGTCATTATACCTTAGCTATCAATATTCAACTTTAGTTATTGAAATTGTAATCTTAAGAATTTGAGTTACAACAGGTAGAGTCAGTTTATGAAGCTGGTTTTCTCAACCATAAATATTTTTGATCCAACTATTCAATTGCCAGATGTCATACCAGATTTCTTGATGATACATATGTAACAATTATTCGTATAATTTTTATTAAAATTTCAATTTGTATGGGTGTAACTTTATGATATGAGCACATCATTGTTAGAGTGCCTTGAAGCACAAAGCAGGACAAGTGGATGCTGGATTCTAAAACTATTGTCTCAGCCGAATTTAATTGTAAATTTGTAACTCGCAATTGTTACTGAATCTTGTTCTGTGTCTGCAAAGTGCATACATTTATGTTCTGTCCAGTAAGATTACCTTCCTTTCCCTGTATATTGTTGAGCTGCTTCTACTGCATATGCCATTTAAAGTTGGATTATGCCTTTTTTACTGATATACATTGTTGCAGCAGTCCATGTGACACTTTACAAAGTTTAAAAAACCTGTTATCCACAACTTGTATATAAGACATTTCACACATGTGTCATACTTGTACATGTGCTTTCCCATGTATTAGTTTTTCTAGCTTTTTGATTACTCCCTTGTGGGAACCCAGTGCCGAGTGGCATAGCTTCGAAAGGTGATTCAGATCCCATTCCATTTGTAAGTGTTGATCCATCTTTATGACGGATTGGTTTTACCACATTGATTTTCCTCAATTTTACTTCAAGATGTACTAAGCTCAAGAGCCCCTCTTTTCAAATTTAGCTGAAATATTTTGTGTGTTTGAGAACATACTTATTTTATTGGCTTGTTTACTTCTATCTAAACATGTTATTTATGCCACTTCTTCCTCTCTGAAATTGCTTGAAGCATTCTAAGTTGTCACCACTTAATTGCCTACTTTGGAACATGCATAAATTTCCTCTTTTGCTTGACAAGTTGAGCTCAAGCATTTGTCCACAAATAAAGCCAGTGCCTTATTTCTTATGGTGTATTCACAGCATTGTTTTAAAATACTGTTTTGTCTGCTATTTGATGATTCTATTGACTTATAATCCTACTGTAAATTATTTGTTCATTAGTACCAAGACACCTGCGTTTGTGGCTCTGTATGTAGAGCATCTTTGCCTCGATCAGAATTATTTCACAACGTGACGACTCTATGAGAGAGCATCCCAATTTTGCAAATACTTCACTATCACATCCACAGTCATTTAAGTACACAGCTTTTGTTTACTAGTCATTGAAGTCATTGGGATATAATAAGTAACTTGATTTTATTTCCTTTTCCCAGTTTTGCTATTTATTTTGATGTCCAATTGAATTAGATTTGTTTTGTGTGTTCTCTACATCTACATTACATGGGTTAGTCAAATGTTTATGGTCTATAAAGTAAACTATTGCATCGAATTTAAGATTTAGGTGGGTGATGTACCTGATGAGGATAATTTTTAGTTATGTATGAACTTGAAGGGGACATTTTACTTCATGAAATGTGAAGCTATTTTACTTTTTGGAAATATTTTCAGTTCTGTAACTTTGGAGGAAAGTATGTGGATATTTCAGAAATTTCTTAAATGTCAATGTGAGATCTTTTACAATCATTCAATCAAAAAGTTTTATCTTGCACACCAAATGTGTGAAATTTGATGCACTTGGTGCAATTTTTCACTGAATCATTCCTGTGGCATTCTATTAATAAAACAGTTAACCATAATTTGGCCTATGCACTTCTTTCTTGCCCTGTGTTTGGTTCTTGTGAACATTTCGTTTTGTGGTAGTTAGGGTCTTCAAGACAAGTTATTTATACAGTTCAATGTGCTGAGTTCTTAGTTCATGTTCTGGACATTTTGAAGTGTCACTGTCCTTGAACTTTATTGTTTTGACTCTTCCTCTTCCCATGCTTAAATGCAACTCATTCTCATACTTAAGCATTCACCTGTGATAGTTCACTTGTTGTTTGTTTAACCTACAGCATTCAATTGAGTGAGGTAGATTGTTTTTATTATAGTTTTGTTGTGAAGAAAGTGTTAACAGTATTTTGAAAATGTTGGTGTTATTCATCCTTGTTGCATCATAGATTCTTGTTCTCCCTTTGTAAGCATATCTGAAAATGGTGTAGACCAGAGTGTTGGAATTCTTTGGGGTGTAGTCCAATTAGCCATGAAGTTGTAATCCATTTAAAATGGAGCCTCTATTTTCCTCACTAAATTGTTACTTGATGTATGTCATTCATTGTTTCTTGTTGTGGTGTGGAGTCTGATTTTGTGGTTCAGCTTTGCACTGAATATATGGACTGTTACATGAGGATAACTTGTTTTTAACCAATCAGATACATGAGGCATTTTGAAAAATTTATCTATGATGATGACCTGAAAACACAAGCCAACTCATTTCTCAATTGTTGTTTTTCAAACAAATCTCCTCTAAAATTATTCAAGAACATGGATTGAATGCAAGTCATAAATTCATTTGCATAAGGTCTTGTCGGTGTTCTTGAATACTGTGTATGGTACCCTCATATTTGTCTGTCATTCAACTTAGTCAGAAATAAATGTGCCATAAAACGACTGTTGAAGCTCAAGAATTTTAAAAACGAAAATATTATGTGTAATTGCTGCTGTAGTTAGATTAGACCCAGGATCCAGGCTAGATGAAGACCACTTCAAGTTAATTAACACCGCCTTAATGCAAATTAAGAAGAAAAGACAAATTTAAATATTTTGTATTTTTATGTGAATTTTGTTGAAATTGCACTAGCTTCTTAGGCCAACATGTCACTTTCCATACTGTTTCCATACAGAACAGACTATCTCGTGTGTTGTTTGCAAGGCTTATTAACACACTGTACCAAAAACTCTACTTGTATATTCAATTTCAACATCTTTGTGGGGAAAAGCACATTTGTCATTGAACTGTTTGATGAATAAACGGACTCTCTAAATACTGTTGCAATTTTTTTTTTTTTCACTTTTTTCCTCACCGCTTAGTCACATTGAATCCGCCAAGAACAGCAGCTAGTCGACCTCCTCGATGGTGGGGCCCTTGTCGTCCGAGCCCGAGCCTGACGGCCGCGCGCCCCCGCCGCCACCCTCGCCGAAGCGCTTGAAGAGGGGCTCGCACAGCTTCTGCAGCTGCCGGTGACGGCTGGCCAGAAAGCTGGGGTCCGGGTCGTTCGTGGACTCCATCCAGGAGATGGTCTCGTGGCACGACGCGGCGATGACGCTCAACTCGACGTCCGCGCACCCGGAGATCTCGTCCAGCATGGCGCGCACGGTGAAGCAGAAGGCCTCCAGGGCGTTCTTCGCCACCACCTTCTGGCGGTGCTGGTCGTCCTGGGGGAGGGGGCGAGTGTTACGAGCGAAGGACAAGGTGGGAGATGTGCTGCCGCAGAGACGCACACACCTGCTGACGGAACTTCTCCGACTCCCTGAGCATGCGCTCGATGTCCTGCTTGGAGAGCCTGCCCGTGTCGTTGGTGATGGTGATCTTGTTCTCCTTGCCGGACGACTTCTCCACGGCGGTGACGCTGAGGATGCCGTTGGCGTCCACGTCGAAGGTGACCTGGATCTGCGGCACGCCTCGCCCCATGGCGGGGATGTGCGACAGCTCGAACTTGCCCAGGAGGTTGTTGTCCTTCGTCATGGGCCGCTCCCCCTCGTAGACCTCCCAGGGGGGCAAAGTTAAATGGGGCCGGGGGCGTTGGACGCGCGCCCTTTGGAACAGGCTGGCGCTTTACCTGGATCAGGACCTTGGGCTGGTTGTCGGCGTACGTGCTGAAGACCTGCGTCTGGTGCGTCGGCACGGTGGTGCCCCTCTTGATGATGGGGTACATGACGCCGCCGGCCGTCTCGATGCCGAGCGACAGCGGCGTCACGTCGAGCAGCAGCAGGTCCTGCACGGCCTCGCTCTTGTCGCCCTGTGCGGCGCGGGACGCGACGATTAGGAACCCATGGCGTCGGTGGCTGGGTGAGATGGAACCAGGCCTACCTGCAGGATGGCGCACTGCACGGCAGCGCCGTACGCGACCGCCTCGTCCGGGTTGATGGACTGGTTGAGCTCCTTGCCGCCGAACAGGTCCTTGAGCATGCGCTGGATGCGCGGGATGCGCGTGGAGCCGCCCACCAGCACCACGTCGTGCACGCTCGTCTTGTCTGCAGTCAGCGAGTCACGACCAGGATGAGGTGGTGGTCACCATGATAGGAGAGCCCTTCCAGCGTGCCACCATGGTGCCACCACCCCTGACTGACCGATGCCTGCGTCCCGCAGGGCCGCCTCCACGGGCTCCAGGGTGGCCTTGAACAGGTCGGCGTTGAGCTCCTCGAAGCGCGCCCGCGTGATGGTGGTGTAGAGGTCAATGCCCTCGAACAGCGAGTCGACCTGCGCACGCCCACAGCCCCCGACAGTGCATCCTGTCCCCGTCGCGTCGGGGTGGAGCGCCTGCGAAGCGGTGCATCGGCAAGCCCGCAACGCACGCGCGCCGCGCGGCGGCCCACCCCGCAGGCGGCAAACGAACCTCGATGGTGGCCTGCGTGGAGGACGACAGCGTGCGTTTGGCGCGCTCGCAGGCCGTGCGCAGGCGGCGCAGGGCGCGCTTGTTGCCCGACATGTCCTTCTTGTACTTGCGCCGGAACTCGTTGCAGAAGTGCTCCACCATGCGCGAGTCGAAGTCCTCGCCGCCGAGGTGCGTGTGCCCCGACGTCGCCTTCACCTCGAAGATGCCCCCCGCGATGGTGAGCACCGACACGTCGAAGGTGCCGCCGCCCAGGTCGAAGATGAGCACGTTCCTCTCCTCGGGGCCCAACTGCGAGTGAGGCCGAGGGTCGCGGGTTCAAACACCTCAACACTATTGTTATGCTTGTTACGATTTTGGCTTTCGCTCGGCACTCGCCTTGTGGTCGAGGCCGTAGGCGATGGCGGCGGCCGTGGGCTCGTTGAGGATGCGCAGCACGTTGAGCGCCGCGATGCAGCCCGCGTCCTTGGTGGCCTGGCGCTGCGCGTCGCTGAAGTAGGCCGGCACCGTCACCACCGCGGCCTGCACGGGCTGGCCCAGGTAGTTGGACGCCGTCTCCTTCATCTTGGTCAGCACCATGGAGGACACCTCCTCGGGCGCGAACAGCCGCGTGTCGCCCTTGTACTGCACCTGTACTGCAACGCGCGCTGCCATGACACGCCCCGCCCCACCCCTAAGTCCCACCCCGCCCCGCCCCGGACCTTGATCTTGGGCTTGCCGCCGTCGTTGACCACGGAGAACGGCCACAGCTTGAGGTCGTCCTGCACGGCGGCCTCGTCGAAGCGCCGCCCGATCAGCCGCTTGGCGTCTGCATGTTTAAACACCGGGGGCGGAAACGAGCTTATTTATTTACTGCAGTGTACTCGACTCCGGCACGTCCGGCACGTGTGTCTCATCGACCGCTGCGAGTATCGACTTGGACTAGCAGAGTAGGCCGCACGAAGCGGCGGGCCGGCCTGCACACGGATTCATCGCCTCATCAAAAAGTGAGGGAGGGCGCGGGTGCGGCTGTCGGCCACTGCAAGGCTGACGCCGCAGTGAAGGGTGCCGCCGGCGGTGCGGCCTTGCAGCGGCCTTGGCCGTGACCCTGAGCGCTGCGCACGTGCAGGGGTGCGTCCCCGTCACCACCACCACCACGCACTCGACGGCGGAGAGAGCAAACGCCACGATCGCGTGCGGTGTGCGCTGGGGGTGGACGACGACGACGACGCGTCGACACCTGGGTGCGTGTGAGCGTACTGCACAGTGCGCACGCCACGAGGGTGTGGCCGCCGCGACGCGCGGTATGAATGTCTTGGCTCGTGGCGCGGCGCGGCGCGGCGTGCCTTGCCGTGCCTCACACGAGGACATCGCCCCATTGGAAATTAATCGAGGCCTCGTCAGGGAATCATGGACATGGCGTTGTTCGCTGTTGTGCCGCACACGCTACGCCGCTACGCCCCCAACTACGCCGTGGCCCCGACCCCGACCGCCAGGCCGCCAGGACAGGTCACCCCTTGATAAACAGTATCGCCGCCACTCGGGGAACCGAGGACGGGGGACTCGAAACGAACTGAATCATGAATGGGTGCCACCCCGCTCGGCGACGAACCGAAGATGGTGTTGCTGGGGTTCATGGCGCACTGGTTCTTGGCCGAGTCCCCGATGAGCCGCTCCGAGTCGGTGAACGCCACGTAGGACGGCGTCGTCCTGTTGCCCTGGTCGTTGGCGACGATCTCCACCTGCAGGGAGCGGAGCACGCCGTCAAGTAATGCATGGGGGAAGCCCGGGGGCACCAGCCGTCCTTCACTTTACAGTGCGTAGTACTCGCGGCCTCGGCCTTCGCCCCGGACATGAATTTGTGACTCGCACCGACCTTGCCGTGCTGGAAGACGCCGACGCAGGAGTAGGTGGTGCCCAGGTCAATGCCCACGGCGGGACCGCTGCCGTTGGCGCCGCCGCCGCCGCTCGGCCCGCGGGCACCGCCTCCCCCCGCCCCCCGCGGCGGCCCCCGCGCCGCACCGCGAGCCGCCGCTGCAGCGCTGCTCCGCGACGCGCTGCCGCCCTGCCTCATGTCCATGCTGCGGCGCGACGCGACGCGACGCAAGCGTTACCTCATTGATGCGCGGCGGGGCGCGACGCGGCCGCGAGACACATTTCTCCGACAAGACCACCACTGGCCTGTTGAGTCGAGTACCTGGTGCGTAGGCGCGTCCGGGGCGCGGTGCTGCCAGTGTCAGGGCGCGAACAGGTGGCTGTGGCGCGTCAGGACCGTCAGGACGAGCATGTCGTGCACCCAGCGCCGCTCCTCGTCCCCGCTGCCGCCGTGCACGACGTGTTACTGCATACGCGTTGCTGATTCCCTTTTCTCGTGTGTCAAAACGGTTTTGTGTTTTCCATTTTTTTGTGCTTTCTTTTCTTTTTGTGTGCTTTGGTGGGTCCTTGGGTGCGCCGATGCGCCGCCCGCTGGGACGGGGCGTGGCGTGGCGCGGCGCTGCCCGGCAACCCGGTGCACGCGAATTGTTGGCGCCGGACAGGAAGCACGGGGAAGCCCCAAGCCCGAGCCCAAGCCCCACTGCCGTAATGTCGCCCTGGGGACGTCAGCAAGCCCCTGGAGGCCGCCACGAACCCCCACGGGGCAGGCAGAGGAAGGCGCTTGTGGAGAGTTACTTGCCCCCCGGCCCGGGTACAAGACCCCTCCAGTGAGTTAATTCCGACGAGTTTCCGCTTTACAATCACTGGCGGGTACAAAAATGTATTGTGGCAAGAACAGGGGCTTCCGCTGCGGTCTACAGCACGGTGACCACGGAGGGCTCCGTGGTGTACTTGTGCGCCGCTGGAGTCTGGCTGGAGGACGCGGCCGGCGGCGGCGTCTTGGTGGACGCCCATGCTGCCGCCTGCCCCTTCTTGAGCACGGACTTGGAGGTAAGCAGCGGGCTCCAGCGCGCGAACAGCTCCTGCGACACGGCCCACGCGTCTCCTGCGGCACAGGGATACACTGTCAGACGTGCACTCAAGGACAAATGACAGGGAACCGCAGGGCACCGCGGCAAGTCCACCCACCCGACGGCTTGGTGGGGAAGTCCGCGCGGTCCAGGGTGAAGGGCTCCTCCACGTTGACGAAGATGTCGTGCGACACCGCGGTCTGGTTGAAGGCCCGTCCCTCCGCCAGCGCGCGGTCCAGCGCGTCCAGGAAGCGCTGCCAGCGCGGCCGGTAGTAGTGGCTCACCAGTCCTGGAACAGCAACGGCCGGGCCGCGGTTCGAATCCCGGTGTTTTTAATTTCGGCCGTTCGTGGCGGCGCCGCCTACCTGCCCACTGCTTGGCCGCGTAGTCCTTGATCTCTCCCCGCGGGCCCCACAGCGTCAGCTGGTTCCGCGCGTTCCACTCGTACACCGCCTCTTCCTGAAAGGAAAAGGAGCGAGTGGCCAGGATAATTAACGACCGCCAGCGATTTGATGCCACCTGCACTGTAGAGAGCCTCGCAGGCAACTCGGTGACATCAGCGCGCTCTCATTGGTCGGTTGAGCCCGGCGAGCGCTGTGATTGGCTCAGCCAATGCGTCTCGAATCGTCACCTCTCTCCCTGCGAGGCGCTGGCGGCCTTACCAGCTCGGTGGTGGCGCGCTGCCGGGCGTTCCGCAGCCACGGCCCCAACATGAAGAGCTGGTCGGTGGACAGCACGCGCTCCAAGTCGGAGAAGACCTCCATCATCTGCGCGGACCACTTCCTGCGCAGCGAGGACCACTCCGTCAACACCTTGGCGACGCCTTGGCGAGGCCGCTCGGTGACCGCCGACTCCAGCCAGTGACTCACCGGAGTGCGTCCAGGCGTCGCTTGTTGAACGCCATGACGGCCTGCTTGTACACGGCGGCGGCGGCCAGCTGCAGGCCCTGGCGCGCCAGGTCCACCACGTCGTGGCGGTAGTTGGCGTTGGCGCGCACGGCGCGCGCCGACCCCGCCGCCAGCAGCTTCTGCCACGCGTCGCGCACCGCCTCCACGCTGTACCACACCTGCAAGGACGGACGCAGTCGTCGGCGCTCGCCGGCAGGCGTTGCCTGGAGGGTGGCCGCCGTGCCCGCCGCCGTGCCCGCCGCCCTCACTCGGCGCGCAGGGCGTCAGGGTCACGGCCACCCCGCAGCACGCCGAGCGCGCCCACGCCGAGAACACGAAGCATGCGGCATGCGAGTGCAGTGCAGTGCCATTCCTCACCCTCGTGGCATTCCCTGGACAAGCATAAAAAGCGAGCCGAATAGCAGAGTGCATGGCAGTGAGTTTGAAACGGTGGAGAAAAGCCGTAACGCGCAACGCGCCGCAGCCCACCAACAACCCCCTGGCCGCAGCGCCGAGCCGCACTCGGCTAGAGAGACCCTAATTACTGTCTGGGAAATTAGAGAGGGAGAGAGAGAGAGAGTCATGCCAGCGGTCTGTTCGGAAGCAGGAAATGAGATTGCAGCGCAGTGCCGTGGTGTTGGTGCCCCCCCCCCTCCCCCGACATCGAGTGGCGCCCTCGCAGCCTTGCACCCTTGGCGGCGCTACCGCTGCAGGCTGCAGGTGATTCTTGGCTGATCGATACATGTCACGCCGTAGTCGTAGTGCCACGGAGTGCATGCAGCCGGCCCGCCCGGCCACGCCAGGGTCTGGCCGGCCTTCACCCCCTCCCTTCCTTTTGCCTTCTCGGCCCCAGTGCCCTGCACCGCCTGCAACGCAGTCGTGACACCCACCCCGGGGACGGGGACCTTAGGGTCCTTATGGCGTAGTTGCAATCCTTGCTGCTCAATTTCTCATGAGCGGCCCGCTCCGGATTGGATTGGCGACTGCCATTATCAGCACCCGTGGGCTGAGGTCACGCTCGCGGGCCCAGCAAATGTGTGTGTCTGTGTGTGTGTGCGCGCAGACACTGACATGTGAGTGGAAGGAAGCAGAAGAGGACAGGCGAGAGGGGCTGGCGGCTGGTGGGGCTGGTGGGGATTGAACCCGGGACAGCACGAGAGTACTTACGGGCTCCTCCAGGACGAGTGACGGCGCCAGCGTGAGGACGAAGCGGCCGTGGTGGCTGTAGAGAGGGTCCTCGTTGGAGTACACGCTGTCCTGCGAGACACGAGCCGAGCATGCGGACGGTACAGTCTACGCGCTTCTACACAACGCTTGCTCTACAACTACACACTCAAATGCAGCTCGCGGCGCGGTCGGCTCGGATCCTAGAGGTAGAAGCCCAACAACAAACACAATCAATCGATGTTTTCATGAAAAGATCAGCGTGCACGCGGTCCTACAGGTGCCTATGAGTGTTTGCGTGGCGGAAATTTGAGGAACATTGTCACTCCGTCTCTCTTGCATCCCTCCGGGGCGCCCCACGAGTGCGAGGGAGACGGAGAGACGAAAGCACGACCTCGCCTCGCGCCCGTTACCTAATCAATGTACCACGACCCCGAACAGCGAACAGCTACGCCCTCATGCGCCAAACGCATGCCACGTAAAGTCGGGGACAGTACCACTGGCTTGAGCCGCAGGGTGGGGTGCTTCACGACGATGTACTTGCCGTGGTTCTTCCACGTCTCGCGGAACGTGTACACGCTGTCCTGCAAAAGACTGGCACGAGTCAGAGCGAAATCGAAGGCACAGTAGTGTCCACGCACCAACCAGCAGGAGCCAGCCGATCAAAATTTTTTAAAAAATTAATTTTTTTGCGAGCGTCTTTCTGTAATTTACTAAGTGACTCTTGGCGTTCGAGCTCCTCGGACACTCGGGCGCGGATTGTCCCGAATCTTCCTTATCCGGCTGGCAGAATGGCAGATTAGCGTGACCCTGAGACGGTATAGAACTACCTTGAGCAGTTGCCAGCTCTCGTCGGCCGCGGCGTTGGACGCGCCGTACCGCCTGGTCGCGTAGCGGGAGAACCTGCAACCCAAATCCTGCTTTGTCAAGTCGCCCCACTAGGAAGCCGGCTCGTCAGGACGTCAGGGTGGGCGAGGCCGGCGGGCCGGGGCGGCCCCTCCTAGTCATCCTTTGGCTGTTTAATGAGTCACAGTGTTTGCCGCGTCGTCGCGGGTTATCAAATGTGTGGCTTATCGTGTGTCTCGTGACTCGTATCTGCAGTGCCGTGTGTGCGAGAGAGACCCTCGCGTCTCCCTTTCCTGTCAACGCGCGCCGAACCCCACCCGAGAAACCAGTGCTATCAGTGAGGCAAAGACTGGCCAGATGATACTCCCCGTCCCAGTGACTTTCAGAGCCACCCTTTCGCGCTGGCTCCGCGCGGGGTATTGGCAATTACTCATTTTGTCCTGGCACTCGGCACTCACCAGTCGGTGAGGTTGGCCGGCTCGGCGCGCCAGGCCAACTCGTTGGCGAAGTCGTACATGACGTAGTTCTGGCCGGTGCCCTCCATCGTCAGCCCCGTGCCCACCATGGTGCTGTTGGGCATGGCGCGGGCCTCGAACACGTTCTGGAACGAAATGGAGGAGGGACGGTATGGAACGAAAAACCAAGTGTGGCAGCAGCCTTGGCGCCTTGGCGCCTTGGCCCGCCCCGCGCCCGATAACGCCCCGGTGGGCTGACAAGGGCGTCGACGAGGACGGGCCGGCCGCTCTGTCTCTCTCGCACCCTCACGGGGCGCCACGTGAGTGCGAGAGAGGCAGCGGCGAAAGCGCTGTTCGGAGTAAGCCCACCGCTGCCGTGGCGGTGTGGCCGGATGTGTGCTGAGCTCACCCTGTTGACGTTGTTGACGGCGCCGTACAGCCCCAGGGTGCCGCCGAAGTTGTGCAGCATGCACCAGATGAAGGGCTGGCCGTAGTACGACTGCAAGCGCAAGTACTGGGGGTGCAGCTCGGCCATCAGGTCCAGCACCAGCATCCGGCCCTGCCAAACACGTCATTTCAATTTCGAATCACAGTTTGGCACGGCGAGAACCCCGTGCTCTTTCCGTCTCCGCGAGCTCACCGTCGGCACGGAGGTTAGCAGCGCCTTGGCCCTCGAGTCGGTCCAGAATGGAGCGTCGTGGACGAAGAGCCAGTTTTGGATCATCCTGGAACGCGGAGTATCAATAAGGGCTGCCCAAGTAGTCGCAGGTTCAAATCCTCGCTCGAATGTCATTTTACCACACGGCTTTGGGGTCGACCTCCACGAGGGAGTCGAAGATGGCCTTGCCGACCTGCGCCAGGTACTCGGGCCGGCCGTCCGCCGGCTGCATCTCGTTAAAGGTGTCGCTGTTGTAGACGTGGTCGGTGCCGAACTCGGCGATCAGCTGCAAACAAAGTTGCATCAGGCCTCGCCGCCACCGCGCCACCTCGCCAATTCGCACCTGGGAGGTGCCAAGCAGCCCAGAGCCAAGCAGCGGCTGTCTCTCTCGCACCCTTAAGGGACGCCCCGCGAGAGCGAGAGAGACACAGTGGGGCGGCGGTCGGCGTCCTCGTGTCGTGTCCTTCCCCAGGGCCGCAGAAGCCGCGTTGCAAACTAGTTACTCGAAAGGGGCAAAACTATCTTGGAAATTTCTATTTAGTTGAAAATACTAGCTGCCGATTGCAGCCGAGACTCACCTCCCGCATGAACAGCGTGCCCACCCTCTTGAAGACGGGGTCGGTGGGGTCCAGCAGGAGGGGGCTGCAGCAGAGCACCGCGTCAAGCAGATACAAATCACTTTGAGACAAGTTTCCAAGTTCCCAAGTGTGGCACGGCCGGGGCCAAGCCAAACTGGCCGCTTACCAGCAGTACTCGTCGGGGAAACGGTTCCACCTCTGCAGCGGGGTGGTGGACGAGTTGGGGAACAGCCTGGGCGAATGAAGCAAAGCCCGTGTTAGTTTTGGCGCGCGGTGCAGTTCGACCGGGTTCGACGCGATTTGGGACCCGGTTCGGGAAGCGGTAACCACTGACCTCTGGAAGCCCCGCGGGACGTGGCCGGCGAAGGCGGGCAGCACGGCCACCATGCCCAGCTCCCGCATGCGCGCCAGGATGCGGTGCTGCAGCACGCGCGAGTGCGAGTGCCAGGAGGGGCGCAGAGGCCCGGCCCATCCCCGCACGTTGCCCATCCGCTGCCTGCACAACAAGGCCCAGCTCAAAATCTGAAAAGGCGCACGACGAGACTCAAGAACTGCTGACGGCGGTACTCGAACCCGGACCATGCAAGGAAGGCGGGCCCCGTGAAGTGGCGGTCCACGTCGCCCTGGTCCAGGCCGAGCTGGAGGTAGACGCGCTCCCAGACGGCCTCCTGGCCGGTGAAGGCGAGCGCCATGTTGATGCCGTTGAGCGCCATCCAGTCCAGCTCGCGCTGCCAGCGCGCCCAGTCCCACCACACGAACGAGTAGCTGGTCGTGCACACATTCTGGTAGTAGCGGTACCTGCGCAGAGGAACAACGCCCTGGTCACCCTAGTCCAGGGTCGGCGGATTTCAAAGCCGGCCGAAGGACTGACGGACTGACTGACCTATCGACCGAGGTGACGGTGATGTTGACGTCGGGCAGCGGGTCTGGCAGGTTGAGCTGGTCGTAGTCCCACGACACCTGGCAGGCGCACACCTGCGTCAGGTAGTGGTGCAGCCCCCAGGCCGCCGCCACGCCGCTCGAGGCCGTGATGTTGACGCGCCCGGCCTGCTTCACCACCTGCAGCACCACCGCGCCGTTATTGCGTCGCTGGCTCCGGGCGACACACGGCAACACGCGGCCCGCCCATCCGTCCGGCGGACAAAACAGCCGCATTCGCCCGGGGAAATGGGAAAGCCAATGCTGTTTTGTTGTTTTTTGCCTGGCGGTGTATGTCGCCTTGTGACATTGAAGCGGGCCGTCGGCAATGTCAAAGGAAGAAAGAGTCGGGGATCGATCGGACAGGGTTGGGCCGTGGGGCCCGGCCGGTGGGGCCAGGCCGTCCCATGCATTATCCAGGGCGGGGCCGCGGGGCCGGCCGACTCGAGGGCTCGACCGGCCGCCTGCGGACAAGGAGAAGGCAACCCGCGCGGCGCGCGCGGCCGGCGGGCAGGCCTACCCACCCGGCTGGAGAGCCCCCCCCCCCTCCCCGCCCCGCCACGCCACGCGCCGTGACGCGGCTCCAGCAGGAAATAGGAACCCAAGAAAATTGGCAACCGTGCGGCTTATGGCTTATCGCGCCCGGGCCAGCTCGAACGCGATCTCCACTCTTCCTGCTTGCGTCGCGGCGTCCGGTTGAAGGTGCTTGGACCTGGCCGTGCTCCACGCCGACACCGAGACCCTCACCTTGAAGGTGTCGCGCAGCGGCGGCCCCAGGCCGGGCTGCACGTCCAGGGCGAAGAGGTGCCAGTGGGCGGGCAGCAGCCGCTGCAGCAGCGCGTTGACGGCGAGGCGCTGCTCGGAGGCGGAGGCCCGGCTGCGCGCCGCGTCGAACAGGTGGCGCGCGTGCGGCGGCGCGTGCTGCAGGTGGTCCTCGTCCTGCTCGGCGCGCTCCACGTGCGCTGCAACCAGAGGAGCGCGGATTGAGGCCGTGGCAGTGAAAGCCCATCACGCGCGTGCTCATCGCGGCGGGGAAGCGGCCTTCGAAGACGAAGACGAGACGAGGGCCGCCGCCACGCGTCTCATTGATTTACTCATTCGGCCGCCGCGCTCCGCTTCGCTTTCCGCTCCGCTTTTCCGCGAGTCCCGCGAGAGCGTGCGGCGGTTTGCGGTTCCCAGCCGCTCTGCCCGGCAGGCCGGCAGGCACTCGGTTCGGTCGGTATTCCCCGACGCAGTGCAACTGTCGCGCAAACGCGCGCCTGGCGTGTGTTCCGTGTGTTCGCTCGCAGCAGCCCGCTGGCGGTGTGCTCACGCCGAACTAAATGTAGCGCCGGTGGAAGCGGCTGGAAACGTGAGAGCGCTGAATGTTGTTGCATCTTCCGCATCGCCGCCGGGCAATGTATTCTAAAATCACGGGCAGCCGACTGACCATGGAAGCTAAATAATTGTCGCAGCGGGAACACGCGACGCGCGTGCAGCTGATGCGGGCAATAATCCGAATCGGAGCGTGCGCTGCGTGTGGTGGGAATGGTGGGAAGCGGGACGGCGCCACCATGGGGCCACCATGGGGCCACCATGGGGCCACCATGGGGCCACCATGGGGCCACGGCGCGGACGGGCTGGCTGACACGGACAATACTTTGGCCCGTAGGCCGATCTTCGGGGAAACGGCAACTGGATCGGAGTCCCGGTCTGCATCCGCGCCGCGGCGGTAATGCCCCACAACAAGGACAAGAACAAGGACAAGAAACAATAGGCCGCGCCATTCTCGCTGCCGGGCCATGCGGCCATGCGTGCCGCCGATAAGGGGTGCGAAATGACAGCGTTAGTCGCCGGGGGGGGACGAAAATAAACTGCTATTGCTTCCCCCGCCTCCCCCTCTAGGCCCTGCACGACCTTGCCCCTGACACCCCTGCGGCCCTGCGGCCCTGCGGCCCTGCGGCCCTTCGGGTAGCGTGGGCGGGGTGCGGCACATGCAAACCCAATTTCATTCCGACACGGCAGTGCCAGCGCCAGCGCCGCGATTTCGATTGCTTACTTTGGCCGCCCCGCTCGTCGCTTTTTTTTTGTTTTCGTCCTTCGTGCAGCGTGTCCTTCGTGTCCTTCGTCCTCGCGGCGACCGCGACTTGAATTTGCCGCCAAATCAATACCCCGCCGCCGTTCAAATTTAGCCTCCCCTCTCCCTGCCCCTTCCGCCGGGTCGCGTTTCCGGTTGGAGCAGGTCGCGGCTCGCAGTGCCGTGGCTGTGCCGTGGCTGTGCCGTGGCTGCACCTCGGCCCGCTGCAGTGCTGGCTTGCATGGCGTGCGCCGGGCCGAGGTTTATCTCTTATCGGCCGGTGTCGTGTGGAGCTTTGGAGGTGTGGAGCAGGGAGTTCCCTTCCCCGCCTGCGTCACCGCGTCGCCGCGTGGATGGGACGGGACGGGGATGGGCCGCTAGCCACCCCTCCGCCGTCAGGGCGAGCATCGCCTCCGCCGGCTCGAGTGCTGGGCTAACACGGCGAAGGGGGCGCGGATCTTGAAGGAGGCGGCGCCGCCGTGCTGGCGAGACTGCCGAGCGATCCCGAAGAATCGTTTCGTCGCTCTGTCTCTCTCGCACCCCTCGCCCAATGAGTGCGACAGAGACAGAGCGCGGGTTCAGTCTGCAGGTCGCTCACTGCCGCGCGTGGTGCGACGGTGCGACCTTCCTCTCGTCGCCGGGCTGGCTGGCTGGCTCGCTCGCTGGCTGGCCAGGCTTCGCGCTTCTCGCCGCGAAAAACCGCTCTCATCGGGTTGGCATCCGGCATCCAGCCGGTTTGACAACGCCGTGTCGCACCGCCTCGCGAGACACCGCGCCGCGCCGCGCCGTGTCGTGCCGGTACAGCACGTCGCTTGTGCTCGCGTTGCCACGCGAAATGTATTTCCGGAGATGAGCCGCCAAGCTCCGCTCCGCCCACGAGCGCAGCGTCGTGTTCCTCCGGCCGCTGCCTTGCCGCCTGCGAACCGCCGGGTAGGCAACACTGCACGACTCGCCGGTTCGACGGGCAGGCCTGACCGCCAGGCGTCTCGGTCCACGCTAAAGTAGCGCCGCGGAGCGGCCTGCTCGTCACTCGCCGGCCCGGTTTGCGGGTTCGAATCCCGGAGGCGGCGGTGGGACGCTCTTTTCCAGCGTGGGTATTGTTCAGCAGGGCCTCGTCTGTAAACACCGCGGTGCGCCTGCCCTGGCTGGCCCTGCCCTGCCCGCCCTGCCCTGCCCTGGCCCTGCCCTGGCCCTGCCCTGCCCTGGCCCTGCCCTGCCCTGGCCCTGCCCTGGCCTGGCCCTGCCAGCCGTGCTGGGACGCTATCGATCCTCGCGCGGCAGGCCGTGCAGGCCGTGGAGTGGAGGGCCCGGGGCAGGGCGCGGCAGGTGAGGGCAGGGCAGGGGGTGGCGCGCCGACCGAGCTGCCGCGCCGAGGGCTGAGGGCCGCGTGCTGGCCGTGCTGCCCGTCGGGCTGTGCGGGCGGCGTGGAGGAAAGCGTGGAAAGCCCGCCGACTGCATGCTCCTTACTACCGCCACCCAAATGGATTTGTATTTTCGTGACGGAATTGAGAGGTTCCGGGCCAGGCGGAGTCACGCAAGTGCTGGACGTCCGCTCCGGTGGGAAGACTCGGCATTTGAACCCACCGCACCTGCCGTGGACGCGGTCGCAGCTCGCAATCGCAGCCGCAGTCCGCGCCACTGCGAGTTAATGGGCTGCCCGCCCCGCCCCGCCCCGCCCCGCCCCGCCCCGCTCACTCCGGAAGCACAAGATCGATACGTCCATTGCCCATCCGCGGCCACGCGGCCGGCCGCGTCAGCGCGGCCAGCACTTTGACGCGGCGCCGCGTGTGGGCGTGCCGCGTGCAGCGCGTGCCACCGCGTGCCTCACTTGCAGGCGGGTCTGGCCGTCCCCGTCCCCACACAATGGGCTGCGTTTACGCGACCGTCGCGATTGTGCGCTGGGCCGCCGTCCACGTCCGCGGGGCGGGGCGGGGTGGCGGGTGGCGGCCCTCGAGGCGCGTGCCCTGGTCATGGTCATGCCTGCATGAATGCGGTACCGCGGTACCGCGGTACGGGTGCGGGCTGGGCTGCCCGGGGCTCGATGAGCTAGCGCGCCCAGCCAGGCAGCCAGGCCGGCGCGGAAGGCAGCGAAGGCCGCCCGGTCCGCCCCACCATGCTGCAGGCCCCACCCAGTACCGATCCCAGCGCGGCGAGGCGCGGCGTGGCCAATAAATAAAATGAGCGCGCGCGACGGCGGGTGCGGCCTGCGCGGCCCGGCCCGGCCGTCTAGCGCTCAAATGGGCTTGTGGCTCGGCTTGTGGCCTGGGCTCTCGGACGGCCAGCCCGCCGCGGCGCCCTGCCATAACAAGCCGGCCGTGCCCGGCACTCGACACGGCAGGCGCCACGCGGCGGGCACCTTGGCCGCCCTGTGACCCGGCCGACCAGTGGAGGCTGCACTGGAGCCCCGCGACGGGCCCCGCGACGGGCCCCGCTCCGTTTTGGGCGCTGAGTCACCGGGCCCGGCCCGGCCCATCCCGGCCCGGCGCGCAAATGGTCCAAGCCGTGCGTCGCGGGCATGGGCGCTGGGCGCGGCGGCGCGTGCTGCGACGGCGGTCTGCCCATAACGTCAGACCCGCAGCAAGTTGCCGCAGGGCCCTTGGGAATGGGTGGAGTGCACTTTCGTTTTCGTGCACCCGTGCTGCAGGCTGCACGGGGCCGACAGGTCCGCGCGCCGCGGCGGGCGCGCGACCAGGGGACGAGGGGAGGGGGGGGGAGGGGGGAACGACGGGAAGCCCTAGCGGGGGAGGTGGACGCCCTTGCCGCCCTTGCGCGCCCAGGCCACCCTCTCCGCACCGCCATGGCGCGCCACCCACCGCACTTTTTCCGCGCAGACGCCCCACGCCACCCTCGGCCGTGTTTACATCGCGGCCATGTGAGCGCGCGCTGCGGCGCCCAAGAGCACCGGGCTGTGGCGCTTGAAGCGCTTGAAGCGTCACACGTCCTTTAGGGTATTCGGCGATTGAGCAAGGGACGAAGGACGGCAGGGCGATGCCTTGTCGCGCCCTCATCAAAGATACAGCTCCACCAGGTCAACCACCTCACGAAGTAGGGGCTGTGGCGATGGGGTGGGGGTGAGGATCGTCGCGTAGGACTCTGGCGTGCATTTTGGCACGCCGTTCAACGGACACCGAGTATCCCCGGGCGGGGCTGCACTGCGTGGCCCACGCGGTCTGTGAAGTGGCGGTCACTTTGAAAATTCCCGCGCCGTCATTGGATCCTCGAGCCTCGCCCATGGCGCCTCAGCTGCCGGCAACTCGCGCCGATCAAAGGTCAACCAGATCCGGCATGCCGGCCTATGTCGGCCCATGCCGGCGCGGCCATGCCGGCCGGCCGTCCCCACATCGGCACCGCCATGGGGCCCAACGGCCCAACCATGTCTGCAGCACTCGTCTGCACTCGGCTCGCCACGGCCCGGCGCGGTCCCCGCTGCGGAGTGGAATTTAAAAACAGTGGACTGATTCCGATAGACGCTTTTCGCCGCTCTGTCTCTCTCGCACTCACGGGTGCGTCCCTCATAGGTGTAGGGGGGAGTGAGACAAGGCGACGAAAACGACTATCGGAATTAGTCTGCAGCCATTGGCGATGGCGGTGGCCATTCGGTTCGAGGGTTGCTGCTCTAAGCCCGGCCGGCCCAGCCGGATGCCACAGCTTGCGTCACCAGATAAGATTACAGTTGGCACAGTACCTACTTCAAATCAGCTTCGGCGGACAGGGCGCCGCTCAAGAGGCGAACCATCCGAGAGGATGACGACGTAACGCCTAGGGAGGGTACCTACCGCCCTGGAGTTCCGCGGCCGCCGCCGCCAGGAACGCGA